CGTATATGGCTTTGAGAGGAATTTGCCGCGTTAGGAAAAAACTTGTTGTTGACTTTTCCCCGATTTTTCCTCTTTCATGTTTCATGTGTACTTGAGAAAATTTTCGGTAAGTTCTGGAAAAAGTGGCAAGAAGTTGGGGAAAATCTGAGAAATTTCTCCTTTTCACGTTGGCATATACCCCTCCTCCCTCCTCCGCTGACGGAAAGATTTTGTGTGGAAATACTGGAAAATGTGGGAAATTGGTAGGTGTTGGAGAGAAGGGGGGAGGGGGCTCGTACCGAGACTCCTTTGGGTGAAGGGTTCGTACTTACACCCTCCCTCTCTAGGGGGGGATTCTTACTGACACCACCATTCCACATCACGATGCTGTACCCTGCTTCCCAATCCAGTAGCAAAGCCATAGTTCCGCGAACAGCGCCAGCAATAGGGTAATGTGAAGTAACAGATCAGGAGCCAGGGCTGGCTCTAACTATTCTTTCTGGAGTACCATCGTGCTCTCAACAAGGTGAGGGGGGTGCTTCTAGTTGGGCAGGCAATTAGTCCTTCCGTAAGGGGCCGAGCTTCCAAAATTCAACCAACTCATCAAAGGTGGTGAGGCTTCCTAGTCTTCTTACCCCCCTCCCCTTCCCCTCCTACCAGGAGACGTCATGGAGATTAGGAAAATTCGTTCATCAGCACAACCTTCCCCTCCACTGTCGTCTATCGTCCCTCATCCCCCCCCCCCTCCTCGGCCGGCTCCTTCGCCTCTGACTTCACCGAACTCAAGGACATTTCCTTTTCATCCAATAATAATAGCAACACTACAAAATTCTGCACATTTTAGCGGTCAGCGAGACGGAGCTGTCGTGTCCGATTCACCGATCGAGTGCTGGTCGCTTCTATGCCGGATGGGGTGAGTTCATTGATGTTCACTACAGAGCATATTATAAGGGTTTCAACTGTAGTTCTGTCCCAAATGTGGATAGGCTTGGTTTTTTTACAAAAAAACAGAACACTCCATTCAAAGTTCCATGGGAAGTTTCAAACCATTCCCTTGTTAGTGAGAATTTGAGTGAGGTCAAGGGCATCACAGGTTCCCGTGCAGCCTCGTACACCCACCCAATTGACGCTCCAGCTGTAGGCTTGGCAACCCTGAAAAAGTCAAAGCATCCAATTTAGTATAACTAGTGACCGACCGAAAGGAACGGAAACCGGAACTCGGAAAAATAGCATTCTGGAAGCTTTCACTTATTTATGGAGCGCTGCTCATTTCAATCATCCAAAGCTACTTTTTATCATATTTCTCCCTAGAGAACAACCATGTCGCCGTTATTTTGAACGAATGACTTCTCATGACGGCTTCTTGAGTTGAGAAAAACAGGGAAAAATTCAAATGGAGTGGCTGGTCTAAGCGATATCCAAAATAGCGCCACTATGGCACATGATATCGTGGGAGGGAGGGGGAGAGGATGCGTGGGCGCGGAAGGCTTTCACCTGAAGAGGGGATACAATTTCGTGCATAAGTAATTCGAGACTCAGTTGTCTTCCAGAAAAAAGAAAGGGTAGGCTTTTGCTGCAACTGATTGGAAGCACGCGCAAGAGTTCTTTTCGTCTCATTTCCTCGCCTTTTTCTGCAGGCGACCCACTGCAGGGAGCTACATCGTTGATGATATAAATGCACCGCCCTCCATTACGGCCCCCAATTTTGGTCATCTGGTACGTCGTCCCTCCGCATCACCATCCGCTTGAGTTTTACCAACTTTTACCACGTCTCCCGGTTTCCAAAGAATTTTTCAATGATTCCCAAAAGACTACCTTCAAGCAGTGGGAGGCAGAGGGATGATGCCTCAATTCCAGCCGGATCTTTCAGTTTTCCACCAAGAACTATTGTGGCTGAGGAAGGGGGAGGGCGTAGGTGGTCACTGACCAACTACCAATTTCAGCCGTCAGAAATAACAGTGTGCGATAGCAGTTCTGCCGGAGCTGGCCAACTAAAGGGCAGTAGACGGGGTACGTAGAAACAACAACGAGAAGAACAAAGAAAAGGGCAATAACTGAAAAAAACGCGAACGAGATAAATCAAGAAAGGGCAACAACCGGCGAAAATTCCCTCGTGGCGTAAAACTTTTCTTAGAAGCGAGGACGCCCCCCCCCCCTCCTCTCCATTAACCAGGTGCGGTCGCTCATACTATGCTGCACTCTTCCAACTATGCTGCACCCGATTCCATAGCATATAAAAGTAGTGAAATAGAGGATGGTCAGGAGAGCGATCTTTAGCACGTCGGAAGTGGTGAAAGGCAGAACCGCAATATTACGGACACAATATCGATTGACGCGCTTGCTTTGGTCATCGGTCTCATACACATCCACAATGGTAGAGATTTAGCCGGGTATTTGGCATCAGCTGCTATTGACCCGGCCGCATCTGACTCACTGATCCTCCCTCAAACCTCAGATTTCTCCAAAGTTAACCATTCATGCGAAGAGCTATTGATTGCCGCACTTCGAGTATAAAAATAAACCCTGTAAAGTGACAGTGACCTCATCCACAACCACACGGTTCATGATGCGATATTGATTGACGCTTCTGATTTAGTCGTCGGACTTCCCTCCACCACTGCCAAATGCCTTACGTGTATATTTGGAGAATGGTCAGACAAGGTCTTTCAGATATGATGATACAACTACAGTCAAGGTAAGCACACTTAAAGTCTCAGTCTCCACCCCTCCAGATAATCATTGGTTTTCAGGATATTTTGAATTCCATCTTCTCAAAGTTGCAACTCCGGGCGAAGCAACATTTCGCGCTCGCCATCGAGTATTCCTTAGGTGCTCGATCGAGTCGAGTGAGCTTGCTTAGGCCCGAGACGAAGATCCTTACCGTAGGTGTCATCAGCAGGATTTCAGTGATGATTACGGTAGCATCTGTCTTTTCAGATAGTTCGAATGCCAAATTCTGACCACCTACGATGCGTGTTCCGATTCGCATTCATTCCAAAGGATATCGAAGAGTTATGGATGCAAGATCCTCGAGCTCTCGATTACTACTACCAACAGTGTACTTCTGACGTCGTACGGGGACGATACGCTTTTGAAATGAGGTTGGCGTCAGATGCGTTGTACTGGCTGTGTTGCACACACTGAGCCCAATTCTTTTTCCAGATATGAGGCCTGTGTTCGATTAGCAGCCCTGCACATGCAACAGGTTACTATCGAATCAAATCTGCTCAAAGAAAACAACACCGTCTCATTGACAAGATTGGAGTGAGTTGCAAACTTAGCTATGAATGTATCATTCGCAAACTTCACAGCTTTTTAAACTAAATTAACACACTATTTACATCGGACATTTTAGCCACGCCCACTTTTGCGACCTTTTTTTAAAAAGTTCCGACTTTTTGAATTTTCCTTCCCTTCTAGGCCACTACAGGCAGCTCGTCCCACTTCAAAGAAGCCCGCCCCTCCTCACAGGAGCCCCGCCCACTCTTGATAAATGCCTCAATTTAGTAGGTTGTAGTCTTGACAGGTCAGAATTTCGCTCATAGCTCGAAACAAACAAACAGGCAGGGTTTGTTCCAAGCGACCAGCGAGGACTCTGACTGCTACTTGAGACGCTGGCCTGCTAATCTGAGATATTTTTTGAAACCAAGGACGGGGCGTCGCACGGTTTCTCAATGCACTCTAATGTGATCTGCTTAGTTGGCTGTTGGATGTAAAGATTGTGTTGCATTTGATTTGACAAGCCGTGAATTAGTTTTGAAGTCATGAATTTAAAATGAAAATTTTATATATATAACGACTGTATCACCCCATATATTATATATATAATTCGCTTGCTCTGTGTTGTTTTTTATTTGGGTTGTTTGCTATGTTTGTAAGTCTTGTCTGTCGAAATTCGGTCTCGACCCTTGAGAGAAGGACCTTGGAAGAGGTCGCAGTCAAGGTGGAATAGGTAGGCTATGGACAAGAAATAAAAGACTACTGACCTATGGGAAAGGCCCGCCCACACTGGGGGGCACTCGCCGAAAGTTTGGGGCTCCGCAGAAAAGTAATCATAATTCGCTTCGGAAGCAGCGTAAAGATGGGGAAAAAAGGGATTAAGGTTAGTAAGGAGTCGCCAGACTAACTGTGGAAGACACGTCCAAAATGGGCGGGCGAGGGGCGTGCTTCCATGGTTGGGCGGGCATCACTCACTCTCGCAGTAATCAGTAACCTCGTTCGCCGAGCACGTGTTTGGAAGTCGCAAAGACTCAATGTAGAGATGTAAAATTAAATCTGGCCGAATTATAGCGGCCGATCAACAGTGATTTAATTGTGAGACCGCCCATCAGTGGCGCGAGCTTGCCCTTAATCGGGCGGCAGGGTAATCATTTCAAAAGTTTGCTTAGCTCAGTCCGAACAACTCCAGACACCGGAAAAAAGTGCGTCTAAGCGGTTTTTCCAGCGAGGGCCGTGCGGTAAAGATTGTGTGGGCACAAAATTGGGGGCGGAGCCAGCCCGAGGTGGGCGGAGCCAGACAAAAATTCTGTAGAACGGTTCCAGAACACTTCAGACACCGGAAAAAAGTGGAGTACAGAACAAAAGGCGGATATCAGTTGAGTGTAGAAATATGTGAAAGAAAGATACGCGCGGCGAAGCCGCGCCGCCCGGCGCAGCCGCGCCGCCAAGGCCGCAGCCGCGCCGCCAGGCGCGCCGCGCCGCCTAGGCCGCAGGCCGGGCCGTATCTAGATAGGAGGCCACGATCGGCGTGAAAGCCGGCGAGCGACTGTGTTTAGGACATACAGTACGTTAGTTGAGACGAAATATTGCTCTCAGTTTGGAGAGCATCGTCAGTAGCACCTAGCTTTAGAGCGAAGGTATGTGAGGAGCAGTGGGTGCGAAAACTGTATTTTTTTCTTTCTTACAATTAGTCTGCGCGTATCCATTGATATTGTAGGAGGCAGGCCATTGAACAGCCACTGTCTCTTAGAGAGAGTGCAGACGAGTGGAGCAGGAGTACCTTAGTCTAGGTACCAACTATTCTATCCTCCTCCGTCCAAGTATCTTCATCCCGAGACCTCGGAAGAGCAGCCATTATGCTTACACTGTTGAAGCTGAAGGCTGCTTAGGTTATATGTGATGTGACTTGTACTGAGTACCCTGTCTTTCCAGAGGGTAAGAGAGTAAAGGATGAAGCCTTGACCATTCAGAGTCCTTGTGGCGCCTTCAATTGTAATACCAAATAAATTTCGTGGCGTTGGGGAGGGCAGGCAAAGCCTAAAGCAAGACCAGATCGCCATGTTGCCACCAAATGCCCCGTGCGGATAACCTGCCAAGAGTTATTATCCTACCTGAACGATCTGAATAAACAGTGAAGCGGGTAAAAGACTCGGGTTAGCCTAGGCGGAGCCGATCAAACGATTTGACTCGGATCAATTGCGCCGTTTTGCGCGAAAGTGAGGCATTTACCCACTACACTACCTCCGCCGCCTTTACAGGACGATAACTGCTGTCATCAGGGTCTGAACTATGGCTAATGACCGAGATACATATCCAATTGTCAGATGCGCAGTACACGTTGGTCACGTGGGCGGAGACACCCGACCATGATACATTCCCTCATGGATGAGCTCTCCTAACGCGGCAAAAATAAGCACGCGCCAATAAGGAGGCGCAGTATTCGTGACTCCCCGCCCATTTCTCCTCCCATCTGACTATCGCAGATTGCATCTTTGGAGTTATATCTAATTTTGCCAGTCTTTTGACAATTTTTTTATGTGTAAACTAAAGCTTGTGGCCTTCATATACATCAATCTTACACTATCGCTTTTTCTTGTTCAGTCAATCTTCTGTTCAAACGCCCAATAAACCCGTCACTTTTTTAGAAGTGAGTACGGCCTCAACTCGTTTCTGCCATCAATCCTTCTGGAAAACGTCAAACGGCGCGAGATTCGTAAACACGTTCGTTACTATCTAAAGAAGGACAGCTTTAAGTTGGCCGAGAGTCTAGCGAAACAAGGCGGACGATGCGACTCGCAGCAATGTGAGTGACTCGGGCCGTGTTTTCACATTAGTGGGCGGAGTTTCCGCATTTAAACAACTCTTTATAGCCATTCTCTCATTACGGGTAACCGATGCGTCGGTGTCATTACGTGTACGTTATTTGGACCTGCTCTCACATCTTCCGTCATTTGGTGGACGGGGTTTTTCGGTAACCTTCAAAGAAAGTCAGATCGATATGATCATGCAGGTAATCGATAATTGGTTAATAGGTTAATCTGGATCGGCATTCAAAAAAAATAATCGATCAACTTCAGATAGATCCTCGTGTGGGGCTACTTGTACGGCATCCTGGGAAAACGGGTCGACCAACGATATCGATTGATTACGACCTCATTGATCGGCTAGTGGTTCGACGAGATTCGGAGATTTCATCTTTGATCAGCATCCGGCTGAAAAGCAGTCCTGATCAGGTGAGTGGCTGGTCCTCACGAACCATAGTTTTGCTAGATACGACCCCCCCCCTCCAACCAAATGTTCTCTCTCCCTTGGCACCACCTCCTTTCGCAACCTGCGGCCACCGTTTATTTCTAAAAATCTGCCGTCGTGCAAGAAAGTGCTAGACAACGCGCGGGTAAACATTTTCTCATAATTAAATAAGACCCCATCCCAGCGACCAAAAATCCGAGGCACTTTACGTTGTGCCCTGACAAACCCTTCCCCAATCTTCCCTTCCCCCC